CACTTAGTTCAAGATTTGTTCACTAAGTAGTCAATGATTTAGAAAAAACCTTCACTAGCTATGGTTCAAGTCCAAAAGACACCATTATTGATGCATGTTGCTAGATTAATGTCTCAAAATATTTTTTGGATTTTTTAAAGATAAAATTTCTTGAAACAAGTGGGGGATTGTAAGAGTTAGTGTTTCAATTAATTTTGAAACAAATTCATCCATTTTGAAATAACAAATACATGAATGTGAGTTGTAACATTCATTTATTTTAATTCTATGTTACAAACATTTGCAAGAAGTTTTTTTTTTTTTAATTCTACGTTATGGGTTTTTGAAAGACAAGTTTTTTGTTTCCAATTCATGAACCTAATAAATTCTATTAATTAAAAATCTTTTCTTGCAAAAATTTTTTTATCCTATAAATTGAGTTTCCTTTGGTTGAAAAAGATAAGCATTTCAAACAAAAATACTTTCCCTTGAAAACACTTGTGAGATATTGATCAAAAGGTGAAATCACCAATTCAAGAATAGAAGAGCAACATTCTTGAATGCTACTTGTTTTGTGGCTTAGTTGAATCCCGAAGATAGAGTTGTTATTTATACTTCCGATTGCTCGAGGGAGAGACTCCAACTATCTTCAAGAAACGTATTAACGCGCCTCTAAGCCAAGCAAGTTTTATTTTGTATTCCTTGTAATTTTTTCATTCTTGTTCATTTGCTCTAACACTAAGCTCATATTCTCTGTTGTCCATTTGTTTGACCTCTGACTATGTACAATATTTTAGCCGGTTATATTATACTCTCAATTTATTTAGAAAATTAATAATTTTTTTTAAAAAAGTAAACTTTTTAAATTAGTAAATTAATTTTAAAATTTTATCGATTAATAAAAATATTATTTTTTTATTATGCACATCAAATAAAAAATGAACAAGTAAATAGAAATAGATAATTGAAAAATTGGAGAGAGGGTGTAATAAATATTAAATGACCCAACTTTCATTATGATTAATTAGGCTAGCGGTGCCTTTTTGTTTTTAAAGTTTGAAACAGACTAAGTCATAAAGTAATTGATCAAGTCCTAATTAACAATTGCCAACCCAAAATTAAAGATGATTAATACGTGTAGCTTATCACTGACTAAGTCATTAAGTGGATTACTCTACTACTATATTCTCTATTTGCATGCTAGTGCTACTTTTTATTACTGAATTATTAATATATTTTTTAAAAGGTGCGGCTCAATAAAATTGATTCTTCAAAATCAAATTGGACGAAATGTATACATTTTTGGAAGGATAATTTTTAAATTATTGAGATATAAAGTTAATCCGAATTTTTTGATATATTTGAATGTTTTTTCAATAATTATATACACTTGATCCATTCAATGTATTTTTTCTATTAGTTTGTTAAAAAAATTGTACCTTTTTCGTTTAAAAAGGAGTATTTATGAAGCTATAAACCTAAAGCCCTTTTGCTTAAATACTTGCCTTATGCTTTAGCCGTCACTGGTATTTTTATGTCTTTTTTTTTCTTAAATCACTTCAGATTTTATTAAACGTTTCTGCATTACTTTTTGGGTAGAGATTGCTGAATTTTCTTAATTAATCAACCATATCTTCTCTTTTGGAACATGCAAACCTCTTCCTTTTTTTTTTTTAAAATGGAATAATCACTTTAGTGATATGGGTTAAAAAGAAATTTTACTGACATAAAGTATTAAAACGCGGTATCGTACATTGATATTGAGGGTATAAAGTATATGAGGTGTTTTTAAATATATTGTATATTCTAATAGCCATGAATTATGGAAAAAATCTTTAATAATTAAGCAATTTTAAAAATAAAGAATTATGTCCCTATTTATAGTCGTTTTTTCTTATAATCTTTATAATTTTAAATTTATTCTGAATATTTTTTTACCTCAAATAGTGGGATATATATCTGTATTTTATGTCTGTAGATTTGGAGTATATATTATTGCCTTTACAATTAGAGAGTTAGAGGCAGGTCCCGGAAACTAAGCAAATTAATTTGATTCAGTACTCTACTTGTTACAAAACAAAATATTGAATATTCAACTGATAATGAGTTTTTCGTATAGAAAAGTAAAAGTCATTTTCAAGTATACGAACACTAGGATTAACTTTTATAATTTGGACTAAGAATGTGAAAATAGTAGATAGAATTGGGCGTAACTGACCAATCAAAATGTTTTTAAAGAGTTGGGAAGGAGCATCACTAAACTATAAAATAAACAAGGCCAAATCGACATGGTTGTTAAACTAAGAATCAACATCATATTATATTCTTTCTTCCATAATGGAAAAGAAAAAAAAAAAGAATGAGAAAGAAAGACCATACACCTCCTTCTTGAATCTTATATTCATTCCATAAAAATTAATCGTATATTATACTGTTACGTTTTATTTTACTTAATCTTTATATTAAAGATTAATTACAATCTTTTTAATGATTTTTTAGGTCAATCGTGTAAGATGAATGGAGTATTAAATTGTAATGCAAACCACGGTTGGAATTCTTTTAATCCAGTGATTAAGAAAGTAATGATAAAGCAAATAAGTCTTTTTTAAATTTCTCTTTGTCTGTGTGTGGCTAATTTCCATAAGAGGTATACTTGAGAAAAAATAATATAATTGGTGCATGCATGGTGAGTTGTGACTTTCTTCATTTTCATTAGTCACTAACACAAAGAGACAAATTAAATACAATCTTCCGTGAAGGACGTGCTATGTGGGGCTTCTTGTGGAGTTATTACTCTTTAATATGTTCAAATCAAATGGACGCTTCTGAGTAGGTTCAACTGTTTAATTTCAACAATTTTTTAAGCACGTATGACACTTGTATCAGAATGTCCGAGTGGATCTCCTTCGTCTAAATATTATATCATATATATATATATCTAAAATAATAAATTAAATAGCTAAATAACATATTTTAAATATTTTTAACATAACGATATAATGTAATTTAAGGGTTCAGGCTCATTGAAAGAGTAAAAATACATAAATTTTAAAGTGTTTGTATGTTTAAATTTAACTAGTAGCAATTTCTTTTTCACTTTTTAAGAAAAGCAGATTTATTTTAGCACCTGTACACCCTCTGTGAAAATTCTAGCTCTACCATGACCAGACTTTTTTGTAATCGCTAATCCTAGCTATTGGCACAGTTATATAGATCGAGAATGGTTAACTAAACATTCTTTATCGGTACAAAATTATATTTGGTACATCAATGAAAAACTATTTTTTCATGTATAAATATTACATTTGAAATACTCTTTGTCGAACTTTTGGTTTCGCCAGCATAAAATGCAAATGCACCACTATTCTATTTTTTTACCTTCAAAATGGTGTAAGAATAACATGTGGATAATTTTATATAAATGTACATATTTCAAATCATTTTATTATATATATATATATATATATATTTGATAATATCGTATTATAAAAAAAAGTAATTACATTTTACTACATAAATAGTTATTATTATGTTAAATTATATTTGCTTGGGACTCTTGTTGTTCCGAAAATCATCCATTTAGCTGGACTTCTTGTTAATTAAAGAAACAAAAAATTTGTGACAAAGAATCTCACCGTATTTTAACAAGAGTAAAAGATTGAAATTTCAGATTGATCTTCTACCAATTATAGACAAAAAAATGTGCTACTGTGCGTAGAGTTTGCAATTATTGGCAATAATTAGATTAACATAAAGTCTTAATTATGTACTATTAAACACTTCACAAGTGGAACGATAGCTTAATTATTTTTATAAATAGCGTCTAATTCAAACTTAACCTACCACTCTGGCCTGTTTTGAAAGAAACGTTGCCATTTTGCAAAGTATCAAACTATTAGTAGGAAATAACATTTAAAGTCATTCAACAACCAATTAGTACTAAATTTCTTCTTTTGGCTCCCAGTTGATTATTAAGCTCTTTATGGCCTCTTAACTACTACTAACACTTGTTGATATATGGTTAACAATTAATCTCATCGATGTTAAAATAATAATAATTCATATTTTCTTTTTATATTTGAAAAATGAAGTAATTTTTAGAGATGTAGCACATTCTTTTTGCTTTTATACGATTAGAAAATACAGCCAAAAGACAAGCACATAGAAGTAACCTAATCACTTAGACTAACATTAAATTAATAAAGGAGTATTGACAAATTTGTAAATCAAGGATGGAATGGTAAAGGATAATTGAACCGAAGTTTATTTATTAAAGTTGTGTGACGATTATATTAATTCTATCACTGTATAATAATAACAATAATACTAGTATTTGTTATATACATAGACAAGGAGAAGTTGGACTCGAAAAACATGACACGATCCATCGAAGTGATATCACAAATTAAGTTGAGTCATATGCATGTCGGTTGATTGATGGCGTTCGACTTACGTTAATCACTCCTTACTATAAGAAAACCAATTGTACTAATCAAAATGTTAGTGTTGGTGTAATAAATATAACGTTTCATATTTTTTATTATTATTACAAAATATTAGACATCAAGAATTTGAACATACCTAAAAATAGTATGATAAACCATAAAATAAAATTAATAAATACTTAAATAAGTAAAAAAAAATGGAGGAGGAAAAAAAATCACACGAGATCAAGGATTATTACATAAAATGAAACTTTCCATTGTTAGAAACAATTACAATATAATAAAATTTAAATTACAATCAAAATGAAGATTTTTTTAAGTTAAACTAACAAGACAATATACTACAATACAAACAACCATCCAAACAAGTCGTATTAGAATCCCTTTCTTTTTTCGTAAAGTTAAATTTAACATCAGTTAAACGTTATCACATAAATTGAAATAAATAAAATAATATTTAAACGTAATTTAGAATAGTACAAACTATAATATACCCAATTTTAACTTCAAACTTTGTTACATAGAATTTGAAATCAACTTTTGTGACATTTCATTTTCAAGGGAAGACTTTAGAAGACCAAGAAAGAACCATAAAAGAGAGAAGGGGGGAATGTGTACCAAAATACCATCTTCCTTCCTTCCCTCTTCCTATCAAACAAGAGAACAAGTACACCAACAAATGTCTCAAACACCAACACTGCAGCAAAACAAAATATTTTTTTCTTAAATTACACAATGAGAAACACCAAAGATTACTACTTTCACCAATTCTTGTTCTTGATTTTGATTTCTCAATTTCTTCATCCAATTCTTGCTATACCCACTGATACAATCACCCCAACACAGTCTTTAACCAAAGATCAAACCTTAGTATCTTCCGATCAACTCTTTGAATTAGGCTTTTTCTCTCCAGGCGGTGCAAATTCAGACAAATGGTATATCGGTATTTGGTATAAAGAGATTCAAGACAGGACTATTGTCTGGGTTGCAAACAGAGCTAAACCCCTTTCAGCTTCATCAACATCAGTCCTAAAAATCACAGAAATTGGTACCCTTCTTCTCGTCGATGGCCAAACTGGGAATTCCGTTTGGTCTTCCGATCAAACTCCGGCGACCAACGTTGTAGCCCAACTACTTGACTCCGGGAACTTTGTCATTCGACCGGAAAACGATGACAGGGAACAGAGTTACCTATGGCAGAGCTTTGATTATCCAACAAACACTTTATTACCTGGGATGAAACTTGGGTGGGATTCAAAATCCGGGATGAATAGAAACATAACATCATGGAAATCAGCAATTGACCCAGCTCCCGGAGATTACACTTTCAAGATCAACACCAGTGGGTTCCCGGAAATTTACTTGACGAATAAACAAGAAATTATCTACCGGAGCGGGGCTTGGAATGGAATTAGATTCAGTGGGGTACCGGAAATGAAGGCAAGTGATATTATCTCATTCGAATTTCAGTTCAAATCCGATGAAATTACTTATACGTTCAAACTACACAACAAAACTTTATACTCAAGATTGTTCGTGAGTCACAGTGGTTTTCTTGAAAGATTCGCTTGGATCCCAACAAGCAACCTATGGAATCGATTTTGGTATGCTCCAAAAGATCAATGTGACGGATACACAGAGTGTGGGATATCTGGAATTTGTGACACAAATATTTCACCAATCTGCAAATGTATGGTGGGATTCAAGCCTAGAAATCAAGTGGCCTGGGATTTGCGAGATGGGTCTGATGGTTGTGTTCGTTTTCATAATTTGGATTGTAAAACTGATAAATTTAACATATTGAAGAACATGAAGTTGCCAGATACGACGAATTCGTTTGTGGATACGACTATGAATTTGGATGAATGTGAAGCTATGTGTATGAAGAATTGTTCTTGCACGGCCTATACAAATTCGAACATTAGCGGAAGCGGGTCGGGTTGTGTGATTTGGAGCTCCGAACTTGTTGATATGCGGCAGTATGCGGTGGCGGAAGGTGGCCAAGTTCTCTACGTTAGGGTGGCTTCTTCTGATGCAGGTATCATCCTAATTTTCTACTAACTTCACTTTTAACGATTAATAACCGATAAAAAATAGTTGTATTAAATCGTATTAAAAGAAATTGTACAATTAATTTAAAGTAATTGGGGTTGATAATTGATTGTTAGATAATCCACTTCTAAGGTAGGATCAAATTTTGGGTTACTGGGATGATTTGAGTCGACTCAGTCTGCACGAATGGAGTTAGTTGGAATTTTTATTTACTTATTAGGTTTGATGATATTTCAACACAGTGAAGTAGAGTAAAATAGAAAGGGTGATGAAATTTCTGGAAAATATTTTTGTAGAAGTCATATCTTTAGTTTCAAATATCTTTTTCTATACTTTATTTTAAATTAAATTATATCACATAAATTGAAACAACGAATATATTTTTGTGGAAGTTGATTTATCTCATTCGTTTGTACACTTGCTATCCTCTGCATTATTCCACTATATATACTGTTTCTGTATGAATATATTTTCATAGTTTCAAAGTTTAGGACAAGTCGAAAAATCTATTTGTCCAAAAATTGTTAGTACCACCAGTTTTGCATGTCATCCGATCTAAATATTCCTAGAATAATATTCTAAATTTGTTTTATCATTTTAATAAGAAGGATATTACACATTATAATCATTTTAATTCACTCTTCTGATTGAATTCCAAAGTTGGCAAATTTAACCCTGTGCATGCTAGTTTGTCTCTAATAGATGAAATTATAAAAATATATTCTACTTTTTTGTATTCTTCTTCTCTATTTTATTTTTTCAAACATGCAGAAATTAAATTAGAGATTTTATTTTGAAAATAAATACTCTACTCCCTTTAAACAACACGTATAGTTGTCTTTTAATATCCTTGGCCCCCCTTTTTAAATTCCCTTTCACGTTACCTACTTTTCGATCTAATATTCTATATAATCAACTAGATTTCAAAATAAAAATAAAAATTCATAATTGCTAGTTGAAAAAAAAACAAGAAGTTAGTATAACAATTATTGAGTGCATTTAATCCTGAAAAGGACTTATAAACAACCTACTTTTCAAAGTTATTCTGCTAATGAGTATTCTTTTGTGGTATGCACGTTTTCAATATAATTTTTTCTTTTTTTATGCTTTCTGTATTTCACTTTGAAAAAGTATAAAAAACCTAACCATATCTACCAATCACATCTACAATTTGCTTTCAATAGGGACTTAATTATATCTATTTTCTATTTGGACTTTCTTTTTCTCATTTGATTTGATAGGGATGATTAGTATTTGGAAAATATGTTAACACAGTAAAAGTATGTCAAGGCTCTAAAAGTAATCAGCCAACTAATTCCACCTTCTTTTCAATCACCTATTCATAAATTTGAACAAACATTATCGATTTATTGTCATAATTCAGCTCGTAACTATACGTTAAGATTCAAATAATAATAAAAGGTAGCAAAGTTATCAAAATGTTCATTTGCTTTTTCTTTTGTACTTTCCTCGTTGAATCTGCATATGCTTAACAGGAAACTTTTAATTATGGTGGGAAATAAAGTTTCAAATAAAGCTTAGTTAGCTCTAAATTAGTTTCCATTAAATTGGTCCCACAATAAATGGGTCCCACAAAGAGATACTCCTTTGCAAATCAAAAACGGTGACAAAGCAATTTCCTAGTCGGTGTAATGGGCCCTTACATGGCCGTCGATCTTGACTTTTATTGGGCCAGCACGGCCCACTTTTTTTCCCTTTTTTTTCTCCTTTTTAGAGAAAAAAAAGCACATGCTTCCTATCCTAATGTAATACAAGAAAAATGATTGGACACTTTCGGGGAAAAGGTCATATACACGTTTGAAAGTAAGGTTTGGTGTGGTAGATTAATTGAAGTAGTACAGAGAGATTAAGAAGTATATATTAAGCTAATTATTTTTCATCAAGAAAATGTCATGGATATGTTAATAGGTTATTTGGACATAACTTTGTGAACTAGGTGAATTAGATCATGTTTACTGACATCATTGGACTGTAGTCTTTTCAATTCAAACTTTGGTAGTGTCACCGAAAATGATTTTTAACAACACTATAGGTTTTCATGCATAAACCGACATTAAAACTTAGCCTCAACTTGCAAATAAACACCTTAACTTTGAGTATACATACCTTGACTCCTCAATTTATTTCCTCTGTGTCAATTGGATACTCCAACTTACAAAATGATTTTCTAGACATCTTCAAAATTTATGTATCAAGTCGGAATGTGTGTCTATGCGACACAGTGGAATGAGTTGGAGTGTCTAGTTGTCAGTTGAGATCTGTCTAGACATGTTCTTTCGAAGTTGGAGTGCTTACTTGCGCGCTGAGGTCAAGTTTGAGTATTTGTTTATATATTATGTCAGTAAAAAATGATGGTGTTCTTCTTGCAGCACTAAACTCTTGAATAAAATTAAGCATTATTAATTAACTCGAAAGTTTTTTAATTTCAGTGCAAATTGGAGGTGAAGGATCTGGAAATAGTTCTCGCAAGACAAAAATAGTTGCAATAGCTGCTGGGGTTACAGTTGGTATAGCTCTTGTGTTATTTGGACTAACCCTTTGCATCTTATCAAAGAGAAGAAAACATCAAAGTTCAATCCGAACTAAATCCGTGAACAGAGGTATTATATGAATCTATCCTGATTAATAAGATTGTCTAATATAAAATGCTTCATTTTCTCATGAATGTTTCTCATGATCCTAAACCAGGCACTAGCGAACGAAGTCAAGAGCTTTTGATGAATGCAACTATTATTCCAAGTAAAAGAGAATTTTCTGGTGAAACTTCCACGGAAGAGTTTGAATTGCCATTGTTTGATTACAGTACCCTAGCTACGGCAACAGAAAATTTTTCTGACGCGACTAAGTTGGGCCAAGGTGGCTTTGGTTGTGTTTACAAGGTAAATCTCAGTTATATGTAAACCATAGTGATATTATAAGAAGAAAAAGTTATCGACAAACTCAATAATATAATCTTTTGATCAGGCAATGCTGGTTGGTCAAGAAGTAGCAGTCAAAAGGCTCTCGAAGAATTCTGGACAAGGAGTAGAGGAATTTAAAAATGAGCTAAGATTGATTGCCAGGCTTCAACACAGAAATCTAGTCCGGCTTCTTGGCTGTTGTGTTGATATGGAAGAGAAGATGCTGATCTATGAATACCTGGAGAATAAAAGTTTAGATTCAATTTTGTTCAGTAAGGCTTTTTCATTATATCGTCAAGAGAGTAGTGTTTCACATCATTTACTTAGATGCTCATATAATTTGTGACTCACATTTGAATATGCTCCTCAGATAAACAGAAAAGCTCGCTGCTCGACTGGCAAAAGCGGTTCAATATTATTTGTGGGATTGCTCGGGGGCTTCTATACCTTCATCAAGATTCAAGATTTAGGATTATCCATAGAGACCTTAAAGCAAGCAATATTCTGCTTGATAAGGATTTGACCCCCAAAATATCAGATTTTGGCATGGCAAGAATTTTTGGCGGAGATGAGACTGAAGGAAATACCAAAAGAGTAGTTGGAACCTAGTAAGCACACGACATAATTTCTTCACATTTTTCATAGAACCTTTAAAGCTGTTTCTAAATCTGTTTTTTTTTTTGTTTTGATGTAGTGGTTACATGTCTCCGGAATATGCAATGGATGGCCTCTTCTCTGTTAAGTCCGATGTTTTCAGCTTTGGGGTTTTGGTGTTAGAAATAGTAACCGGAAAGAAGAACAGGGGATTCTATTATCAAAATAACCAACTCAACCTTCTTGGACATGTAAGTTCACAGATCATGTGTTAGCTTCATTATTGGCAACACATTCATCATTTGATTAATTTCTGATAAAGAAAGTAATCGACTATGCAGGCGTGGAGACTCTGGAAAGAAGGGAGCGGCTCAGAGCTACTAGATCCATCTTTTGGAGAATCTTTTTCTCCATCTGAAGTAATGAGATGCATACAGGTTGGACTGTTGTGTGTCCAGGAACAAGCAGAAGACCGACCAAACATGGCCACTGTGGTTTTGATGCTAGGTAGCGAAAGTGCATCACTTCCTCAGCCTAAAAACCCAGGATTTTGCCTTGGAAGAAGACCCGTTGATTCTGATTCATATTCGACTAATTATGAAGAAACTTGCACTGTCAATCAAGTTACAGTTACCATGATAGATCCCCGGTAGTTGATGGTATCGCCCTCAGAAAGTGTGTATATTACTACAAGAGGTTCACAATTTTCTCTTGTATACTATCTCAGTTTTTGTTTTTGGGTAAGTTTTGTGAAAGATAAAGAGCATAATTAGGTCTTTTTTTCTCATTACATACAATTTGTGAATTCAAAATCTTGTCTTTTTTCATCATCAATGTAATAGGCCAATCATTCCTTTTCCATATCCTTCTAAATTACTGTGTCATTATTGATGTGATTCAGAAGGAATATCTTGTGCATTCATCTTCATTTCTACTAAATAAAATTTAAACTTTTGGTCTTTTCATTTCCTCGTATTGAATATGTTGTGCGGAATTTGAGATAATACGAGAAAATATAAACACAAAAACAAGACAACAGTTTACGTGGTTCACCAATAAATTGGCTACGTCCACGGGAAGAGAGGGAGCAGTTTTATTATGGAGAGGCAAAAACAGAATTACAGAATAGGGTTTCCCATAGCGTCTATATATAGTGCTAAGCTACGCCCTAACAGGCTTGGGCCCAACATACAGAATCAACAGAAAATTAAGGGCCCAATACAACAACATTGTATACCGTCGGGCCGGGGGCGTCTCCGCCCCCCCGGACCCCAGGCCAGGGGGCGCGTCGCCCCCTGACCCCCCCGACTCGCTGACCGGGCAGCGAGACCCCCGTCCTTTCTGTTTGTAGCGGGTCCGATTCAAGGCATTCAACAGAATAAAGAAAAAGTTGGTCTTACAAATAATGAATTAATACATTGGATAAGATAAATCATAAGAACTGTAGTGTTCAATTGTTCATATCAAAGTCACTTCTTTTATTGATTCCTTCTTAATCTATTATGTATTACCACATTGAATTGTATTTATGTTTCGTAATTTTTTTTCCTCTCAATTTTTTTAGTAACAAAATAAAAGAAAAGTAGGACCAAACTGAGAGTTAGTAGCATAAAAAAAGATGGATTTGTGAATGAAAAATAGAAGTTTCCAATAGGAAAATCCATCAATGGCACAATCTCAAATTGTTCAGGTGGGCCACTTATTTCTAATTGTGAAAATGGGCCACTTATTTCTATTTGTTTAATTGATGGCATCATAATCACAGTACAAGATTTAACACTAATTATATGTGGTAAGTTCGATTCATTATACTTATTTGGTAACAAAATTTTCATGTTACGCATATCAATTTTAAAATTTATCACTTATGTAGAAGAAAAAACAAATATATCATTGTTTGGATTGGAATGAACTTGCAGTGCTCATTCCTGGAGACTGGTTGTAATAAATAGGTAAACGGCTAAGTCTTCCTGTTGAGGGGCCTTCATCAAATTGCACCAAACACAAGTATTCAATTGGCTTGGGTTGGGACCCAAAGAAGTAAATTGGTGATGAAAAAGTCCACACAGCTTCAAGTATCCAATAAACACACCTGCATTCATAATACTAATATTGAAGTCTCAATTCTTTTCATCACTTGGAAAGAGTAGGAAAGAAAAGAAAAAGAATCAAGAGAGTACTAATGTATATGTGTAGGGGAACCATTCTGCTTAAATGTTTTGCATTAATCATCTTTCTGCAAACATGCAATGCTAGGAAAAGCAAACACTACCACTGTCCTCCTTCTGCTTGTGGCCATATCCGTAACATAAGCAACCCTTTTCGCTTAAACACTGATCCAAAAGATTGCCGTTATCCAGGATATGAATTAACTTGTGAAGGTAACCAAACACTTATGTGGTTATTCTCTGTGAAGTTGCACGTTCAAGGCATCAACTATGATAACAAGACAATTCGCCTGGTAGATCCAACTTTACAAACACAAGATGATCTATGCTCTTTCAGATCTCAGTTTAACTTCAACAAGTACTATACTATCATTGACTCATATTATTATAGTTATGATTATACTAAAACATTTTTAGACCCAATCTTCATGTTCAACTGTCCATTTGCTGTGAATAATTCCGCATTTGTGGAAATTAGTGGCTGCAAATTAAGCAGATACACTTATTTAAAGATTGGAGAAACGAATGCATCAGAAGTCAATGATGGATGCAGAGTACAATTTATAGGCCTGACCTCATGGCCTAATATTAAAGATGCAGAGAACAACATTTCCCTTTCTGATTTTCATCAAGCAATCCTCTACGGATTTGAGCTTCGTTATTATATGTGGAGTTCTCCACAAAAAAAAAGTAAGGTCTTCAATTATATATGTTGAATGCCTTGAATCGGACCCGCTACAAACAGAAAGGACGGGGGTCTCGCTGCCCGGTCAGCGAGTTGGGGGGTCCAGGGGGGCGACGCGCCCCCTGGCCTGGGGTCCGGGGGGGCGGAGACGCCCCCGGCCCGACGGTATACAATGTTGTTGTATTGGGCCCTTAATTTTCTGTTGATTCTGTATGTTGGGCCCAAGCCTGTTAGGGCGTAGCTTAGCACTATATATAGACGCTATGGGAAACCCTATTCTGTAATTCTGTTTTTGCCTCTCCATAATAAAACTGCTCCCTCTCTTCCCGTGGACGTAGCCAATTTATTGGTGAACCACGTAAACTGTTGTCTTGTTTTTTGCGTTTATATTTTCTCGTATTATCTCAAATTCCGCACAACAATATATGCTCTGCTTCTTAATTTATAACATTCTTTTCCATCCTAAGATATTAGGAAAATAATGGATTCACTCACTATGATTTTATTTCTACATCTCTTTGTAGGTGATATTGAACAGCTTTTCTGTGAGTACTCAAACTTTTCTCTATATATACTTTTAATGCTCCATTTATCTCTCAGTCTAAATATTTTGCACTTTAATCTAACCAGGGATCAGTCTGTCGATAGTTGAGTATTTCGTATTTAAGCGCCAGATTTATGGACGAAATTGGATAAGTAAGACCGTCTTCAATATAATTATATATGTTCTGCTTTTTGATTAAAAAAAAACGTTTTCCATCCTCTGATACGTGTGAAATTAGGAAAGCAATGGATTCACTCACCATAATTTAATTTCTTTTATGTGTTGTAGTTGTTATTTCTCTTTTATATATACTTTAAGTTCTCCATTGATCTCTCATTCTATTTTTTTGCGCTTTAATCTAACCAGGGACCATTCTGTCGCTACTTCTGTATGTCATGGGTAAGCTCCCTTTAGCAAGCTGTATGTTATTTGAATGGGCACAATTTAACATTCCATCTCGTGAAAATAATCTAACACCAGTGAGCACAACATAAAAATTCTGAAAATAGAACCACTCGAAATATGTTATTGTTAGTAAAGTTATTAATAGCAATCAAATGAGACAGAAAGTGTTAAATTTAACTAAACTCTGAGAAAAATAGAACGGTCCGCATAAGAAAAAGACAATCTCTATGATCTATTGGCTCAAGCAGGAAATTAACATTATGGCTTCTCAAACTTGCAGCGTATTTTGGAATAAAATTTGTGATAGGCCTTCCGTTTGTAGTTGTATTTCTGGTGATCAAATTCAAAAGGAGGCATTTGTCGATGTATGATACGATTGAAGGGTTTTTACAATCACAAAATAATTTCATGCCAATCAGATATAATTACTCCCACATAAAGAGAATGACAAGAGGATTCAAAGAGAAATTAGGTGAGGGAGGTTATGGCAGTGTATACAAAGGAAAGCTTCAAAGTGGAAGGGATGTGGCAGTGAAGATGTTAAGCAAGCCTAAATCTGGTGGGCAAGATTTTATGAATGAAGTAGCTAGCATTGGAAGGATTCATCATGTCAATGTGGTTGGACTCGTGGGATATTGTGTTGAGGGAACTAAGCGTGCTCTTGTATACGACTTCATGCCCAATGGATCACTCGACAAGTATATTAGCATCAGTGAAGAAGGAAGTCCTCTGTTAAGTTGGCAGAGGAAGTATGACATTATTCTTGGAGTGGCTCGAGGAACTGGATATTTGCATCGAGGCTGTGATGTACAAATTTTGCATTTTGACATCAAACCACACAACATTCTTTTGGATGAGAATTTCATTCCAAAGATTTCTGACTTTGGGCTTGCAAAATTATATCCACCAGGTAATAGCATAGTGACTCTCACAGCTGCTCGAGGAACGATTGGCTATGTAGCTCCAGAGTTGATCAGCAGAAGCATCGGGGAAATCTCTTACAAAGCTGATGTTTACAGCTTTGGAATGCTGCTCATGGAAATGCTCGACTTGAAAAGACCTGAAGTTGCAAATGAAGAGAATTCCAGCCAATATTTTCCTTATTATATTTACGATAAGTTCAACAAGGGGAAGGAGATTGTGGTGGATGAAGAAGCAAATGATGATGAAAAGAAGATGGCTAGAAAGCTCGCTTTAGTTGCGTTATGGTGCATACAAACAAATCCGATACAACGCCCTTCGATGAGTAGAGTATTAGAAATGCTTGAAGGTGAAGTTGAAGTGCTAGAAGTACCTCCTCAGCCTCTTCAATCTCAACCGATTGTTCATCAGATCATGGGAAGTTCTATGACATTTTCTTCTGATTCAATGGCTTTGTTAGAAAATACGGCTGATAATCTCGTTGAAGTAGACATTTCTTCTGATTGACCATAGTTGATGTAATATTTATGTGAAACAAATAGCCCAGCCAACAATGTTTGGGACAAAGGGTGTTGTTGCAATTGTTGTCCTAGTTTAAAAACACACCTCGAAGCTAATTGACCAAGTGTATGCATACAATAGCCAAAACGCTCATGATAACTTAATTTGCTCATAAAATTTGTCAAAATGGCAGCCCACTCATTAATTTTGAGGTGTGTCTGGCTACGTAATTGGAGATAGTTCAGGTACAAAACATGAACACCTGATAGTTTATGAAAAAATCATCTTATTATATTTTTATCTAAAATCTAGTAGTATTTTTCTAGCATTTTCTATGCAAAATCATTAAGTACTATTTTATAGTCAATTTATTTTAGTAATTCCTTTTGATTGATACTATAACTAATCCATTCTTTTTCTCTCGTATATTATTGATCTTAGATAGGATTTTATCAATTTTAATTTCGAAAAACTTCTTTCAACTAAATGCATTAGGAAAAGGATTAAGTCTTTTTATCTGATTAAGTATTTTCAGTAGATCATTATCTTCTATTTTTATTATTTCTTTTTAACACTTTTAATTAAAAAATAAACATAAACCATCAATATTTATTCGATTATGTGTTAAGAAAGTCCATTGTTGAGACAATGTTTTTTTAAAAAAAAAAATCTCATCATATAGTGATTTCAGTTTTTACCACTAAATAAGAAACCAAAATATTTTCATATGCTTCAAACTGTTCAAAACAAGAATGTATATACTTATGAACTAAGAATATCAACAATAATAAGTTAAAAAGAAAAAATAATTAAAAAATAAAGTTAGAATAATAAAATTTGACACGAATTTGATAAAGTGATATAACAATATTGAAATAGTGTTGCATGCATTCTTACAATATAATGATTGTTTGTTTGTTCTTCTTGAGGTTTTGAAATAATCATTCAAAAACAATTTTTATTCTTTTGTAGCTTGTAAATAACAGTAAATCAAAAAATTTTGTAGGAGATAATTTAATATTGAGAAAAAAATAATAAAGCAGATGAATATAAGGTAAATAATAGTATAGGATCAAATTCTTAGAGATAAATAAGGAAACACAATTTCCTACCCAATGAAATTATTCTCAAAAAAAATGTTTCATTCCTTTAGAAAAGTAGAAAAACTAACAACATTTCTTTTTTACTTTTTACACGTTCTCTTATTAATTTAAAAGTACTTATAATTTCTTTTTAGTAACATGTATAAGTACTTTTTTAAAAAAAAAAAAAATCAATGGACCCTAAAGCGATTTTTCGTGGGATAGTGATTAAGACGACCCTGGTTTTGTCCTATGGAGGCTAAGATGACTAGAAACTAATATCGCTTATGCGTGAATTAAAACAACACACTAGCTTGTTAAGGAAATATTTCATTTTTGTTAGAACTTAAAAGGTAACCCTTTCATTTGACCTTTATCATGCTATATAACTGCTAGCAATAATTAATACCTCTGGATTCTAATACCATGATCAGGTAGTCTAGAATTCGAGTAACGTAGCTTTTGTGATGAAGTGTTGTCGATTATTAAATAATATAAATCTCATGGTTTTAATATAAAATTATAATCTATTCTTAACAAGTATCTAATTACATTAATTTTTTAAAAATTAGAAAATCGGATACAATAATTGAACCTCGAATACATTAAATATTGTTTCGGATACATAACATGCAGCTCGTGTACATTAAATATTGGCTTGGATTCGGATACACTAATATGTAGCTCAAATACATTAAATACTAACTCGAATACATAATATGTAGCTCAGATACATTAAAACTCGGATACATAATATGTAGATCGGATACATAAAATACTGGCTCGCATACATTATTATGCAACTCAAATTTATTTTAAAAAAATTATTTGGATTAATGCCTTTTAATAAATAAATACTGATTTTTGCAATACGTTTTATTTATTACCATTTATTGAAATACTATGTTAAATCTGCAATATATATTAAAAGTGCATATATATGTTTATATAACTATTAAAAATATATTATGCTTGTTGGTAAGAAGTTGACACATTGTATTATAAGTGTATTAAACGTGATAAATATATATCCATCAACAAAATTTGTATTATATCTAAATAATAAATTATTTTTTATAATATGAATTAAAAGTGTATTATAAATGTATTAAAAGTGATAAAGTGAAAATAAATGTTATTGTTATAAATAATAAATATTTTTTTATTTGTAGTACATTTACGTAAGTTTCCAAAAAAAAAAGAAATTTCGGAGATTTTTAAAAATATTAAGGAATAATGAAAATAAGTAAAATTAAAAGGTGTATATTTATGTAATTTAACAAATTTAGTGACTTCTACTATATATGTAACGAGAAGGATGTTATTGGCTTCATGTTTAAATTAGTTTAATTTAGAAATTTAATTTTGTGGAGTTTATTTAACATAACAAGCCAGTAATGAGAATTGGTTCAATGGCAATTATTGCAACTTGTTTGACAATTTTTTTAAGATTTTGTTTCATCTGCCCAAGCAGATTGTAATAGATTTATATCGGATAGCGAAGTTAATGTCAGTTACGTTTCATAAGTTAAAACTTTTCCTAGAGGAATCACTTGATTATCTCTCAAACTCAGAGTTTCTGTAGCGCTTTCATCTTTAATTTCCACCAATGTCTTCCTTGCTTTCGAGTGTATTCGCTATCTGTTATCTCCTTATATCCATAGCCTCATTCACAAGTTATGGTGCTGCTCAGGATACTTTATTACAAAATCATTTACTGATCAACGGCATGAAATTAATTTCGTCCGGCCAAAGATTTGAATTAGGATTTGTTAGTTATTTTTCAATACCTGTATGCAAAATGTACCTGGGATTATGGTACAAAGATGTAGGTCCAGGTACCGTTGTATGGGTTGGCAATAGAAGAAATCTAGTTAATTGTGGTGCATTTCTAGGACTAGACACAGGCGGTGACATTTTTCTCCAAGATTTTATGAGAGTAACGGTATGGATTCATAAGTCAAATCAGACTGTTCCCAGGTCAGCCATAAAGCTCCTGGATTCAGGTAATCTCGTATATGGAGATTATAGCAATCTGACTGCTGGAGAGTATCTGTGGCAAAGCTTTGACCACCCTTTTGACACATTGTTCCCTGGAATGAAGCTCGGCTGGGAGAAGAAAAGTGATATCGACCGATCCATGAGGTCCTGGAGGACAAGTTTTGATCCAGCTCCAGGTGATTATTTGTTCAGGTTGGACTCAGGTGACTCAGGTCAGTTATCCCAACTACTTCTTGAGAAAAATCAGCGAATACAATCAAGATGGGGTCCTTGGGATGGAGAAAAATTCAGTGGTGGTTATGCTCTCATGGATAACCAGGCATACAGACCAATATTTCATTCCGATACAGATGCGATGTATTTCACATTCGAAGCCAAAAACGACTCCATTTTGATACTTTCACTGAATGCAGATGGGAAACTACAGTTTCTGAGATGGAATAATAATTCTACCAATAGCTGGGATGAAGTGAAGACACTCAATATGGCCATATGTGACCAATATAGCTCATGTGGCCCTTATGGAGTTTGTACTGATGGAGATCTCCAGTGCGGATGTCTTGATGGTTTCACAGCTGCGTCACCAGAAGAATGGTACAAGATGAATTTTACGCAAGGATGTAGGAGAAACACATCACTTAACTATACTGATAGACGTATTTGTAAAGAACACCCGACTGAAGTTGCCTGATAAAGCTACTTACTGGGGAATGTTGTATCCCCAGGACTGTGAACACAAGTGCTTAAACGAAAGATCATGTATGGCTTATACTAACGTCAGTGGAAGCAAATGTGTTGTTTGGTTGGAAGATTTAGTTGATATGAGATATTCACAAATTGCTGGGAACAACATTTTTATATGGATGGCAAATGGAAAACCAGGTAAAAGTGATTGATTGCTTGTGACATTTTTATATGTGTGTATGAATGACATTTGAAGGATGTAGTAGTTAATTTTTTGTGTAAGTTTGATTATTTACACATAAACATTAATTAATAAAATTTCCATATCAGTGCTTGATTAAGTGATTCTTCGCAGATTGATATCGAAACATTAGATACATGTTTGAAGCATTAGCCTGAATATTGTTACATAACTCCTACACAATCTAGCGTAAGATGAAACTAACCTGCATGCATCTGGTTATTCTCATGCAAAATCTTTAACTGGATATGTAAATACCTCTAGAAATTCCTATAAAGTTTATCTGTCAAAGCTGAAGCCTAATTTTATGAGTAAGGAATAACTAATACTTTTAACTTTCTTATATACAGATGCACCTGTTGCAGGCTGGAGATGGAAAGAGGAATGGACTGTTTTTGCTTCTTTAATTTCAGAGTTGGCACTGCTTACTATCTTGCTTATAGCTGTTGGGGTTCTATGTCGAACGAAGAGAAATGTGCTTGGTAAAAGAAATCACCTTGCACTGCTATTATATTTTTATAGTTATTAATTACACACTAAGCTTAGTTTTACTAGAACACTATAAATTATTTAGCAAACACATGATCTAAGTAAGATAGCTAGCCTAATACTCATATTAAGGTTTTGTCTGAATGATTTGTATTCTCAAAAGAATATCTTCATCTGCGCAGATGAATCAGAAATCAATCAGCCGGCAAATTCTCAAGAAACTTTATTGCAGGGCACTAATGTCATTGCATATGATTCCAATGATCTAGCTGCAGCCACTAACAATTTCTCGCTGGCTAATAAGATAGGGCATGGTGGCTTTGGCAATGTTTATAAGGTAAGTATGAAAATGCATATTTACAGTAACTCAGACAATATATTAATATCCAAATGACACACACTATTTGTAGGGTGTACTAGCGAATGGAGTTGAAATTGCAGTGAAGAAGCAGGACATGACTTCACGTCAAGGATTTAGTGAGTTCAAGAATGAAGTCAAGTTAATAGCAAAGCTACAACATCGTAACCTAACCAAGTTGTTGGGATACTGCATTAATGGAGCAGAAAAATTCCTAGTGTATGAATTCATGGCGAATAATAGTCTAGACAAGGTCATATTTGGTATGATATCTTAAATAAATTGTCTGTGTTGTTTTAATATTGAAAAAGCCACAAAGACAGAAATTTCAACTGTTTTTTGTACATGTCCAGATCCTGCAAGAAGGGGTGCAATAACATGGCCAATGCGCTTCAACATTATCAAGGGAATCGCAAAAGGATTAGTTTACATGCATCATGACTCAAGGTTGACAATTATCCATCGGGACTTAAAGGCTAGCAATGTCTTGCTAGACAGAGAGATGACACCCAAAATATCTGACTTAGGGTTGTCAAGGGTAGTCGAAGATGGTGTTGAAGAAAAGACTCAGCATTTAATTGGAACACGGTAAGTATATTATCGTTAAGACTAAATATTTATATGAATATTTTAGAGTTCTTAGAACTGATGGTTTTATATCATGGCTATAGTGGTTATATGCCACCTGAGTACATGAAACATGGACGTTATTCAACAAAATCAGACGTGTTTAGTTTTGGAATCCTGACATTGGAGATTGTGAGTGGCCAAAAGAATTATGATTATCGGCACCCAGTCTACGATATTGGTCTGGTAGACTATGTAAGTACATCGTCGATCCTCTGATTATCGTCATTACTTCACTTAAATTGGTTACATAGAAGTTTCACATTGTGCTAAAACAATTTACATGATTGATGATCTATTGTTGGTCAGGCTTGGAGAATTTGGAGTAACGGGAATGCCATAGAACTATTGGATCCAATGATTGAAAAACCAGGTGATGAGAATGAAGTTTTAGGATGCATCCTTGTTGGGCTCTTGTGTTGTCAACGCGGTCCCCAAGATAGACCTTCAATGATTCAGGTGGTTTCCTTACTGGAGGAGAATGAAATGTCAAGGTTAAATTTTGTGCCTCAGGAACTTTACTACTCTAAGGACTCGAGAAGAATGGGAAATTTTTCTCGCAGACAACAGTGCTCTGGTCGAAAATTTGGGATGGTGCAGGAGTGGAAACAGCATGAATGATGTAACTATTACTGAATTTACCGGAAGATCGTGTCCTAATCTCAAAAGCCAAACAAACAGTGAACTAACTGTGATAATGTGAAGTCTTTTTCTTTTTCCAATTTCTATAGCTTGAAAGTATGAACATGAAATTCCTGCTTCTAAACAGCCCAAGAGAGCCTAAGCTGAGCTTCCCAGTTTTGGGGCAATAGCGTTGTTAAGGAAAGGATCACTTTATAAAGTACCAATGACCTTTTCTAACTTAGCATTTATGTATCTTGTTGAATTTGGGGTTTTCAATAATTTATCTAGGGATACTCATTCTGACTTATTTACATTCAGATCATGAATGTGAATATTTATTGGTAACATATGTCCGTTATTAACATCATTATCCGTAGTTAGCCTGTTCATCCTAATTTGCAATTTTGACTCCCTATTAAACTCACTATCTAGAGGCTTCATATAATACAAGACATTGAAGTTTTTCTATATATTCCGTTTTCTGAAATAACACTAGAATGATATCTAATGAAGTTGATTAAGAGACACTAAATATGGCAGTGTCACTATAATTTATAACCAACTGTTGGGTTTAAATTATAACCAATAAATAAGGGTTCCGGGTTGGATATATATTATCAGGAGTAAAATGTTGGTTTAGTATGTTAATCTTATTTAATTAAACAAAGCCATTTATATTAAGGCTGCCACGTCACATTTCCGCTGGAAGTTTCATAAAATCCGGTAAGAGTTCATTTTGTGATAGCTGGAGAGAAGTAAGAAGTAAAATTACTTTTGTTTGTAAAAAAAAGTAACTTTTATGAAATAAGCATAAACTTGGATAACCATCTACAAAATATTTTCTTTATAAGTAAGTTAATTAAAGTGCCTAAAACTGCTATCTTGGAATTGCAAGAAAATATAGAAATTGTTGGTGTATACGTATTAGATTATTAAAATAAAATATTAAATAAATATGTTAGTGGGCATAAATTGCCTTAGAAAATGACTATTAGTTTTTTATAACTTATATATATATATATATATATATATATATATGACCATTAGTTCTCGTAACTATATTCACTATACAAATGAGAGAGTATTTATATGTTTGAAGGAAAATGTTTTTATGTGGAGTTTTGAATTTTTAATTTCAACTAATCTGAGAATTGTTTGAATTGTATAACGTTACGTTTGGTGTTGCATCCAAGTAACACTGTTGGATTGATTTAGATTATGTCACAGTGAACTTGAATCTCCTCAAAGAAAATGATATATTCGCATCTCAACCTAATTTTTTTTTAAATTTATTTTTATCATTTTAGTTTTAATGGTAATTTATTATATTTGAGTGTATATTGCATTGACATAAAATCATAGAAGAAGAAGGGGAAATTTCAAGCGTATTTTGTATGCAACACTGCCTAATATAAGTATATATAACACTAAGTAATTGTTTTTAACACGTGGAACCGCTCTGCTTAAATAATTATAAAGTACAAGTGGGAGAAATTCGATGCTTCAATGTATTAATTTTAAAATAGAGGCATCTGTATGTATAAAATCCGGATTTATATCTGGACTTTCATGTTTCATGTGCCTAGGCTCAAAGTCAAGGTGTTGATTAAATTATTATTTTTTCTCTAAACTTTTTGAATAAATAAATTATACTAAACAAAAATTTATTACTTAAACATGATCAAATTCATCTTCTTTCCCCTCCCAGCATGATGGCTCATTCGTTGTCATTCTCATTATAGAAATTCCGTTATATTATGCTTTTTCTTTTTCTATTCTATTTTTTTTTTCTAATAGAAATGGCTAGCCTTCAAATTCTCTCTCTTTTATTCTCTTCACTATTTTTGGCCAAATGTTATTACCTCCAAAGAAGAAGATTTTGTCCAGTGTCTTTCTAAATACTCTGAAACCAACGTTACACAAAACATTTACACCCTAAATTCTCCAACTTATTCATCGATCCTACAATATGCTCAGAAAAATCCGAGATGGTTGAACTCTTCACATCCTGTTTTCATAGTCTCCCCTACAAAAGAATCAGATATCAAGCCGGTTATTCTTTATGCAAAAAAGTTAGGATTGCAAATGAAAATAAAAAGTGGTGGTCATGACTATGAAGGCATATCTTTTCGCTCTGAAACCCCGTTTGTTATGCTTGATTTAAGCAATCTTGACAAAATCGAGATTGATTTAAAAGAAGGAACAGTTTGGGTTCAAGCAGGGGCGACTCTCGGCCAGCTTTACTATGCAGTTGCCAAGAAAAGTAAAGTTCATGCATTTCCAGGCGGCGTCTGCTTTACTGTTGGCACTGGTGGAATGATCAGTGGTGGTGGGCTCGGCGCATTGATGAGGAAATTTGGCTTAGCAGCTGATAACGTTGTAGATGCTCGCGTAATGGATGTAAATGGAAAAACTCTTGATAGGAAGAAAATGAAAGAAGATTTGTTTTGGGAAATAAGAGGAGGTGGAGGTGGAGGAGCAAGTTTTGGTGTTATTTTAGCATGGAAACTCAAACTTGTTCGTGTTCCCGACAAGGTTACTGTTTTCACTGTTTATAAGAAGCTAGACAATAACCAAAATCTACTCCAAAAATGACAAAACACATCACATCAACTACCTGATGGTTTGTTCATCAGAACAGTTATCCAAAATGATGGAACAGGGAATGACAAGTATGTCTTAATGTTTTTTCAATCACTATATCTCGGACCTGTTGATGAGTTAATTCCATTACTCAAAGAAAAATTCCCTGAATTTGATTTGGACAAAAAAGATTGTTTCCAAGAGCCTGTTGTGGATTTTAGTGACAGGCCTTGCATTAAGAAAGAATGTCGCGAATCTTCCTGGATTGCATCAAGTCTTGTATTTCTATGGTAGGAGAACAAATGAGTCACTTGAAGTTCTACTAGAAAAGAGTATTCCAACACAGAAGAATTACTTTAAAGCCACATCTGATTTTGTGAAAGCTCCAATTCCGGAAAGTTGGTTGGGAAATGGTGAAAAGACTGTTTTTGGAAGAAGAAAGACCTCAGATTATAATGGAGCCATTAGGTGGGGAATTTAGATGAAATATCAGAATCTGAAATTCCATTCCCTCATAGAAAGGGGAATTTTCAGTATTTGGTGAACTGGGGCGATAACAGCGAGAGTTTATCAAGCCAGAAGATAGAACGGTTGAGGAAACTTTACAAGAAAATGGAGCCATATGTTGCAAACACTTTAAGAAGCGCTTACCTGAATTACAGGAACCTTGATATAGGAACAAATCAAGATTACTACGACTATTCCAAGGCCAAAATATGGGGTGAAAAGTATTACAACAGGAATTTTGGAGATGTTGGCTAGTGTGAAAAGTAAGGTGGATCCCAACAAATTTTTCAGAAATGAACAAAGTATTCCACCTTATCATACAGATATCTTAAGAAGACTGGATCCTATGTCAACTGGACTGCATCAAGATGTTTGAAGTTTTATAAAGATAATTCCTTTTTTCCCCTTATCAAATTTATCAAACGTATCACTATATATATCAACTTCATCGCATCTTAATTTGCAAAATAAATGATGAAGACCTGTTACATCTAAAGGTGGATCCAAAAGATTACGGTTATGAATAAATTATTTGTATATCTTAAGTAAATTTTTCTATAAATTATTTGTAGTATCTTATGTATACACTTGCGTATATGGAGCTGTCAATATGGGCTAACTTATCCCATCTGAGCCAATCCATACAGATTTTGACATTTTACAAGTCTAGCCTGACTAGCTCATTTTTGTGTGGGCCAGAAAATGCTCGACCTAACCAGAAGTACGTGGACTACTGGCTTCCCGAGCCAGTCCCTTTTTTTTTTAAATTATATTATTTTTATAATTAATAAAATAAATTATAAATTATAATTTAAAAATATTATCATATATGTCGATAAAACAATATTAATGTTAATGTTACTACTTGTTAATAAAATCCACAAATAAAATTATCTTTATAATATTTATTAAGTTTTTTTTTCAAATAAAAGTATAAATATCTAGAAATATTAACCTAATTATTTTGAGTCTAGACTCTCTTTAATTTTAAATTTTAATATTATATCATATTTTTTAATACGGCCTTACCAATATTTCTCAAGCCCCACAAATCAACATGTTTATTCAGGCGGAACTAAAAAATTCTTTCTTTAAATGGGCTCCAAAAATCTTAGTCCAGCCCTATTAAATCTCGAGTTATGCCAAGCCGATCCAACAGGTCTAGCCCATATCAACGTTTCTAAATGCAGTTATGTCATTTGAATATCTTGTATATATACTTTTTGTATATCATATGTATAACTGTTATATATACATGATATCCACGTATGATACATAACTGATATCCACATGCATGACATTATGCACAGTGGTTTCAGCCAGATACTGTCGTAGCTTAGGTTTCGCTGCCAAATTATATACATGACACAATGAAGATTATTTACATCATCAGTATGCAGTGTGCCTTGGAAAATCATTTGATCTGATGAATCGAGTAAAGAATAACGAACATGTCAATACTTGGCTGTCCTATTCCTTAGTTGATCTGATGAAGCACCGGTTCTCTATATTATATATGATCTCTTCAAATATAACAGTCTGAAAATGTTTAGTAGTCTCTTGATATATACTTGCTATTTGTTATATGTAACAAACAACGTACTTTTAAAGTTTCTTATTAGGTTAAACTTAATAATTATCGACAATTACAATAATCAGGTTTCCATTTTATTCTTAACATGATCTCATTTCTATATTTGTTTGGCCTGCTGGCATAGCTACATGTATTGATAAATTTGAAGAAAAAATTTTTGTATAGAAAATATAATTGAGAAATAGAATATTGTTTAGTTGATTGTAGTATTTTTTTTAGATTCTTATGTGGTTAGTTAATTGTAGTATTCTTTCTAGTTTCGCATGTTTTTATTGTTCAGATCATTTATATTCTGACGATTATCAGGAACCAACAATATGGTGTTCTTATACCTTTCACTATTTTTTCTTTCATTATTAAATATATTATGAAGTCTCTCAAATGTTCAAACATTCTACATTATATAAAATATATTGTTGTGTATTTATAGAAAGATAAAATTTGTTTTTGGCGTCTTATTCAAATTTAAAGCATTAAAATAATCAACACTATTTTAATATTACTTGTTAACTTATTAAATTCATCGCAATACTATTTTAGTATCGTCGTATTTTTAAAATTGAGTCATGATTTATTATTTAACTTTATATTGCATAATTTTCATTAAAAAAGTACATTTTTTTATGTCTTACTTCACAAAGTCACATACATTGTGTCTCTTCGGATCTCATTTGTAAGATCACACTAAGTATGTTATACTTATTTAATTTATATTTATCAACTAAAAATAATAGAAACTCTTTATAAATTTTGACTTTAGACTCCTAAATTTGTTAAGACGGCCCTGGATATACGTGGTAACAAGATGGGTGTTATTGTCCATGTTGGACGTGCAGTAGTTCATGTGTTTAAATTAGTTGTTGATTAGATTTTGTACTACACTTGGTGACTTTAAAGAGGATTCAGGAATAAATTTTAAAAGGACTAAAACTTGGAAATTTGTCGAGTTAGAAATAACAAAAATAGATGGAATTTCGCAATTATTGCAACTTATAATTTCTTTACTTGTTTTGAAAGATGAAAACTATGTTAAAGAGGGACCTATTTACAGATTTGTCTCGAGTTAATTAACAAGATGATATTGAACTCTTTCTTTTAGTGGAAAATTTTAGCATTAAATGTAGAGGTAACAAAATTTTGAAAAATGAAGGATAACAGAGTGTTCTCGAACCAAAGACGTTAGAAGCATATTCCGTGAAATATAGCTGAGTAATTGACGGTCGTTTCAATGTTTAATGCATTAATGACAGCATTATCCCTCTAACTAATTCTTACACCAAAGTCTAATTAAGAGTTAAGGAGCCTTGAACTGTTTTATTTAGAGGAAAATTTTATTTATAATAGAGCTAAAACTAGGAAGATTATTTCGACGTTCTCTTTAAATGTTATATGTCAAATTGAGAGTTCATTTGCCCAAATTAAATTGTAAACATATTTTCATTTAATGCTAATACAATCCTTAGATACTCTTTTGTCAAACATCAGTTGATCAGTAATGTGTCATTTTGTGAAGTTTTTGTCTTTATCTCTTAAATTTAGCATATATGAAACACGCACACTGCTTAATTGCACTTCACTCTCACTACTTCTCCATAAAAGGGGCTGTGAAACAACAGAGCAATCATATGTTTTCAGCTTTTCCACCACCACTCAGTTCCTCTAGCTCTCTAATGGCTTCCGTGTTTTCTTTGTTTACTATCTGTCATCTTTTCATCTCCATAGCCCTTTATGGATGTTACGCTGGTGCTACGGACTCTTTGTTTGCATATCAAATCTTCACCAGCTATAACACTTTAGTTTCATCCAACCATGATTTCATAATTGGATTTTTCGGTCATTATTCATTGACTCCGATTGTATGCAAGCTGTACCTGGGATTGTGGTACAGGAGTGTAAATCCCAGGGCTATAGTATGGGTAGGTAATGAATTGAATCCACTTGGATGTTTTACAGAGCTAGAAATAACCAATGAAGGATTTAATGTCCAAGATATGATGGGAACAAAGGTATGGATTTATAAGACAAACACTACAGTTCCGTTACCTGTTCTGAAGCTCCTTGATTCAGGTAATCTTGTGTTTGGAGATTCGAGAAATCTGATGGCTGGGGAGTATCTGTGGCAAAGCTTTGACCACCCGACACGCACATTGTTACCAGGAATGAAGCTTGGCTGGGACAAGAAAAGTGGCATCAACCGATCCATGAGGTCCTGGAGGACAGAAGCTGATCCAGCTCCAGGTGATTATTTATTAAGGTTAGACTTGGGTGACTCAGGTCAGTTACCCCAACTACTTCTTGAGAAAAACCAGCAAATACAATCAAGATGGGGTCCTTGGGATGGAGAAAAATTCAGTGGAGGTTATGCCCTCATGGATAACCAGGCATACAGACCAATATTTCATTCCGATACAGATGCGGTTTACTTCACATTCGAAGCCAAAAACGACTCCAGTTTGATACTTTCACTGAATCCAGATGGGAAACTACAATTCTGGAAATGGAACAATAATTCTACCAGTTTCGGGGACGAAGTGAAGACACTCAATATGGCCGTATGTGACCAGTATAACACATGTGGCCCTTATGGAGTTTGTACCGATGGAGATCTCCCCTGCGGATGTCCTGATGGTTTCACAGCAGCCTCACCAGCAGAATGGAACAAGATGAATTTTACGCAAGGATGTAGAAGAAACACCTCACTTAACTATACTGATAAAGACGTATTTGTCAAGAACACTGAACTGAAGTTGCCTGATAAAGCTACTTACTGGGGAATGTTGTACCCCCAGGACTGTGAACACAAGTGCTTACACGAAAGATCGTGCACGGCCTATACTAGTATCAATGGAACCAAATGTGTCGTCTGGTTGACAGATTTACTGGATATGAGACGTTCACAGAGAGCAGGGAACGACATTTTTGTAAGGATGGCAAATGGAAAACCAGGTAAAATGATTGCTTACTTGTGATATATCATTTTACTGAATGTTTCCAAAGCTTTAACTTTGAATCAACAGAATATTATGAGTAAGAAAACAAGTAACACCTTTTTACTTTCTTATGAACAGATGCACCTGTTTCCCATGGGAAAAGAAAATTGAGTGAGGGATCGATATCACTGATTTTTGTATTAGTTCTGACAGTAGTTGTCTCGTTTTTATTTATTGGGTATGCATGTCGATCAACGCATACAAAGGTGCCAGGTAAAATAAATCACCTCTCGCTGCTTATATATTATTTTCATACTTCTTTTTTTCAGCCCAGCCTTAGTTTCACTCAAACACCATTCATGAGCAAAACCTCCTTTAACTCTTGAGACAACAAGAATAAAGAGAGACATTCTTCAAAAGCATCTTCTTCTGTCAATAAAATTTACTTAAGAGCACACATGACCCTGTAACCTAGCTCGCAGTTCGCTTCCATTATTGTCTGATATATTTGTTTTTGAAAAATAATATCTTCATCTGACCAGATGAACCAGAAATCAATCAGCCAGAAAATTCTATAGGAGCTTTGCTGCAGGGAACAGATGTCATTGAATATGATTCCAGCGATCTAGCTGCAGCCACTAACAATTTTTCACCGTCTAATAAGATAGGGCATGGTGGCTTTGGCGATGTATATAAGGTTAGTTTTTCTTATCGACAAGCATGAACATGCATATATCTACAGTAACTTAGACAACACAATTAATACCCAAATGATACGTAAATCTGTAGGGTGTACTGGAGAATGGAATTGAAATAGCTGTGAAGAAGCAAGATGTGGCTTTGCGTCAAGGAGTTGAGGAGTTCGAAAATGAAGTCAAATTAATTGCAAACCTACAGCATCGTAATCTGACGAAGTTGCTGGGATACTGCATTCATGGAATAGAAAAACTCCTCGTCTACGAGTTCATGGCAAATAAAAGCCTAGACAAGGTCATTTTTGGTAGGTAATCTTAAATAACATTATTGTCTGATATATTTGTTTTTGAAAAATAATATCTTAGCCATAAAAGACAGAAATTTTAGGCCTATTAGAGTAAAATAGGGTAACTGTTTTCTCTACATGTGCAGATGCTGCAAGAAGGGCTACAATAACATGGCCAACGCGGTTAAACATTATCAAAGGAATCGCACGAGGACTAGTTTACATGCATCATGACTCGAGGTTGACAGTAATCCACCGGGACCTAAAAGCTAGCAATGTCTTGTTAGACAGCGAGATGACACCCAAGATATCCGACTTTGGGTTGGCAAGGGAATTTGAAGACGATGTTGAAATCAAGACTCACCGTGTAGCTGGAACATAGTAAGTAGAATAGCACTCATTATCATTAACGCTGTGCATATTTTATAGCTGTCTTATGTTGTTGCTGTAGTGGCTATATGTCTCCTGAATACATTCAAGCTGGACATTATTCAACAAAATCAGATGTGTTCAGTTTTGGAATTTTGGCATTGGAGATTGTGAGTGGCCAAAGGAATTCGCTTTATCGGCACCCAACCTATGATATTGGTTTAGTAGGCTATGTAAGTATATCATCATCCCCTGATTATGGTGACTCCCTGTACACATAAGTTTCACATTGTGCTAAAACAATTTACATCATATTGATCAGGCTTGGAAATTATGGAATGAAGGGAATGCCATAGAATTACTGGATCCGCTGATAGATAAACCAGATGATTTGAATGAAGTTGTAGGATGCATCCTTGTTGGGATGTTGTGTTGTCAACGGCGATCCCAAGACAGACCTTCAATGGTTCAGGTGGTTTCCTTACTGGAGGAGAATGAAATGTTGAAGGTTAATTGTGTGCCCCTGGAACCTTACTTCTATAAGGGGACGAGTCCCAGTAGCAGGAGCCGCGAAAGTATAAATGGCCTAACTATTACTGAAATCACCGGAAGATCATGATCAACTAATATCAAGATACAAATCTACAGAAAAAGCTCTCAGTACTAGAAATGACCTTTACTAATTTAAAGTTTATGTTATCTTGTTGAATTTTGTGCAATTATAGAATGAAGTGAAGACACCAAATTTTCCAATGTCTCTATCAACTATATGCCTTTGTTTTTCAGAATTACTTAATGAATCGGTATCAAACAAGATCTTTGATTTTTTTTTTTTTGTTATAAATATGATTGATATTGACTAAAACTAAACATCATTAAATTAGAACGGTGATATCACACCTACAGAGAATTGGGGCTAAAATCCACTCAATTGAAGCATAAAAACACAATGAAATTTAAGAGGATTAGTTTTTATATTTGCTAATCAATCAATCAATCATTCAGGTAGCACAAGATGTGTAAATTTAACCTAGGTTAAGAATGTATAGAAATCGATGCATATGCGTCATTGTCATATTACCTTATTTTCTCAAGGCGTCAATTTGAATTATGATCCAGACTCAATTTAGTTCATCGTACATTTATACAGACTACACGAAGCCTGAAAGGTTTCGATTTGAAGAGTTAATCAGCATGATAATATTCCAACTTCAATAAATCTTGCGGAAATACAACACCAGATCTAGAGAGAGTCGTCCTCTTTATTTTGACTGCTGGTGGGCCATCATCACGCCACCTACGCACCACGTGGCACTAGGCTATTACTTCCTATGTTCCTTTTTTATTACTCGTTCAATTTTTACTTCTTACTTTTTTTTTACTAGTATTTGGACACGCACGTTGCGCGTGTACCTTTTTTAGTGAGCATAAGTATTTTTAAAAATTGCTTCAATATATAATAAATCTATTCAAAAATCAATGACATCCAATATCTAAAGTGTAATCTTGAAGATTCTTAAAATTAGTACTAAATTGATTTTAATTTGAGTTTATGAGTTAAAATTTGATATGAACTTGTCAAATTTTAATAGTTTATACATACATACATACATACATACATATATATATATATATATTATATTTTGATTAAAAAACAATTAAGTTAATTAAATTCATACATTACAAACTTATTACACTCATATAATCAATTAAACCCTTGTCCTACCACCACAATCAATATAACATTTCTAAACAAACTTCATTTGATATGACTCATCGCAATTATAATATATTTTTGTTAGAAAAGGAATTCAACATTTCTTTTATATTTTTTGGAATTGTATCGTTAAAATTGTACTTGAAAAATAAAAAAAATGATGAAAATAATATCATGACATTTGAGTGATAAGTAATATAAATTCTGAATGAGAAAGGAAGGGATAAACTATGGATCAAATAACTAAAATTAAAGTAAAGAAAATTAATATAATTTCATGAGTAAAATAACCAAAATATGATATTGTATTCATTCCTTTTTTTTCTTAATATGGATTTTTATCTCCCCTTCTTTCTTTTGGATGAAAACTCCATTACAAAAATTAAATTCAAACAAAGAAAGTGAAGCTGAATAGCCAATGAATATCACATCACTAACATGCCAAAGCTCATAAATACATTTTTTTACCTTTATTGGGTTATGATGGTTGTCATCAAAATTCAATACTTAATTAGCTTTATACACAAATAACTCACATGAATCTGCATATGAAAATTCAATAAATTTGACCTACTATTGACAAAATATAATAATAATAATAATAATAGTAAAAAAAAAAACAAACAAAGAATTGTGCTAACAAAAAATCATGTCAGAACGAAATTTGACTTACCCCGTTTGTATTGGCACAACTCAAAGTACAATTCTATGCGATCGACACTGAAGCATCTCATCAATGATTTTTCCTATAACAAAAAAAAAAATCATCTCATAAGCTATCGACATAAAATTACAAATTTTATTTTTCATCAAAGATTAAAATCTTAAACTTCAGTCAAACATCATAAACTATATTATAAGTAAGAAAAGTAAGAAACAAAATAAAAAATAACTTAAAATAACATGCACAATGCAACATCCAAAAGAAAAATGTTTCAATGCTCTCTATCAAACTCATAATAAAATAGAATGTAAAAAGCAAGAAGAAATACATATATCAAATGAAAAGACAAGGATCATAGTGGGGAATGTAAAGAGATAACAGTTTCTTTAGAAGATAATTAATAAATAATTATCTTTTTAATGTATTTATTTCATGTAAAAATATATATTTTAAGTACAATATGATATGATTATTATTTAATATTTTTTTAATTAAATATTTTTATTTAATATAAGGGTAAAATGGTAATCCAATATTGTACTTTGATGCTTACTTTTAAAAAAATGTTTGTAATGTACAATTAACTTGAAGAATTTTTTTTACATTTAGTCCTCCCTTTATTATAATTTTGATATATAAATTATATATTTGTTTTAAAAGATAAAATAAAGTAGCAAAAACAAAAATGGAGGCACACTATCTTATGATTAACTTTCTTAAAATGTCTTTTTTGTCTCATAAAAATGTTGAAATTAAATTAATATTTATACATTTCAAGAAGATAAAATGTTTGACATTAATTCATAAAAGATGAAATTCTCCTTTTCATTAAGTAGAATGCAATTAAGTAATTTAAATTTATAAATAAAAAACTTATTAGAAGAAAATAACTAAGATTTAAAGTGCAATAATTGATATTTAAATTATGTAATTATACAAATAAAATATTAATATTAATTAAATAAATCAGATTTTAATTTAATGGAGAGTCAAAATGACAATATTAGTATTCTTACAATTAAAAGTTTGTTGAAATATATTTTACATTTTTTTGTTAAAAAAATAATAGGAGCAATATTTGGTCAAAGGATAAAAAGATCTTTTAACTTCTTAAGCATTTTGGTGTATCATTTTTACGACTTTGGAATTTGGATCTCATGATAATTTTAATGAAAATTATCGAAAAACTATAGATTTTATCCACAAGCACATGTAAGAATGATTTTTACAAATATTTAAAATTTAAAATGCAAAAATATAATTATTAATATTTGAAATTAGAATATCTTGTAAGCATTAATTGTTCT